CAATTGATTTGCAGATCTGGGGCCTGTTTCAGTAAGGAGGTTCAAACAACTCAGAGTTTAAACTTGAACTCTGAGTTGATTTACCGAGAGATTAAAAACTCGGAGTTTTCGGTTTCAGAATAGCTGATCTGAGTTGGGTCAATCAACTTCGAGTAGACCAACTCAGAGTTGAGCGCGCACACCGTGACTTTAAAAAGGCATTATCAATGGACCGCAGACATTACGAGTGACTATGGCAATATCTTATAAAAGAGATCACCATTTCTTTCTCCAGCTGAACTTGATGTTCTCATGCAAAGTTATAGCAAATATGAGCGTATATATTTGAAAAGAAGCAACCATCAGTGAAGAAGAGACAGTTAGCGTGGGAAAACAGCTGCTCAAGTTAATGCCTAATTTCACTTTTTAAGTATTAAAAATATTTAAGTATAATAAAATAATATAAAATATTAAAATAAGTATTATTTTATTTATTTTTTTTTAAAACTTTTTTTTATACATTTATTAGTTTTAAATGATTTTTAAATTTATGATTTATTGATCAAGTGATATAGGTTAATATAACATTTAGAAGGTAAGCAGTACTAAAAATAATTTTTAGAAAGAATAATAATCCCATTAATCTAGTTACATGCATGTCGAAGGTGAATTTAATTTAATTATTTATAAAAAAAGGATAAGCCATTCTCGTACAGTTCTTCTGTGTGTGACTAAAATGTAGACTATAGCTATGTTTCCATCCAAACATATTACATAAATTTATGTGCAAAACTGGAATATTGCATAAAAGATGCGAATAAAATTCCATCCAACGAGTCAAAGAGAAAAAAATTGTCACTTCCAGATTAAACTGGCACCAGATATCAACAGTAAAAACAGAATTTACTGTGGTAGAAGAAGCTGCGTCAATTAATTCTTTATTTAGCCTAATTAATGTACTTGCGCCTCGATGTCAGAAGACAATGCTGAAACACAATGAACACGTGGGGGCGTCTGAAGCCATGAGACGCGGAGACTCTTGACACGCACCAGACGTTTGGAGGTAATTAATAATATACAATAATACTGAAACAGTTAAGGCATTTTAGAATGACTAAAACAATATTTAAGACGTGTTACAGTGTGCTCAGCCTGCTGGTTTGTTCATTTACACACATTTTCATTATCATATGATCATGATTTTTTTTAATGTACATACTGTAATTTGTTCAGTAAAAGTGTTTCCATCGTAGTTTATGCGCACATTTTCTATCGAATAAAAGTTTATCCTACTCAGTTATGCGCGTTTTTTATGCATATTTTGAAAAGTTATGTGCATCATGACGTTTTTATCAATCGTTTTTATGCACGTATCCAAAATGAACATTAAAATAGGTGGGGGGAAACGTTAGGCTAAGGCGAGAAATACCGCTTCATCTTTAAAAAGGGGAGGAGACCGACAGAAACTCTGAGTTTAGAGAATAAAACCTGCTTCTGACCAGGTTAGATTCACAGAGTAAGTTACCACAGTAACTGACTCTGAGTTATAGTTACCTCTCTTTCAGAAACAGGCTTGACTTACCCTGCTTTCTCGAGTTTAACAAACCTGCCATTTTGAAACGGAAAACCCAGAGTTTCTCTCATTTCAGGGTTAAAATACTCTGAGTTTTCAGTTAACCTCCTTTCTGAAACAGGCCCCTGGTCATTTCTCAATAGTATTCGATGCAATATGTTTAGAAAAAATGCATAATCCTAATAGTGACTGCAACAGCATGGCCACAAACTAAGTCACTTATTTCATTCTGTTTCTTTAAATTGATTTACTTCGACAATAAAGTTTACATTCAAAAATGTGCCATACTTTATTCCTGCATATTTAGCATGTGCTGGGCAATGCAGTGAGTGACTGCTGCCCTCTTGTGGTAGTTCAAAATAGTCATTACACACCCACGTACTGTACATATCCGTGAAGGCTTGCTCATTAAAAACACATATACTGTAAAATATGCGAACAACAAGAAGCACTAACTATTGTTTATGGCCCACATGTTTTACCTGCATAAACAATTAAAGAACTGGAGTGCCTGATTCCTGACTAACACAAGAGTACCAGCATATACAGCGCACACGCAGACAGAATGGGCAAAAAAAAACAATATGGCATCCGCTTAACATGGTGTCTGTCAAAGTGATTGATTGCCAAACCTGAGTAGCCTTAAGGGAGTTTTTTGTGCTCTTAAGAGCCAGCTGTGTTTAATAAATTGAACATGTCACTTTATACCATGCTGAAATCTGTCTTCTACTCATAATGTCCCTTTTTAACTGTCTACCATTACTAAACTACAGTTACTCGCTTCCTTTGTTTAACATACAATTTGTGATTGTATATTTTTGACTTACTGGATGTGTTATTGCAGTTGTTTAGGATATATGGTTGTAAGTTGGTTACCTCATTACTGATATTCCCTCACTCGCTTACATTCCTTTGGCTTAGTGTCTGCATTATCAGGGGTCGACTCACTACAGCAGAATGAACCAACTGTTTACTGATGTTTGAAATTAAATTGCTAAATTGGTCATTAATTGGCCAGTAGCTAAAAACAAAAACTAGCTAATGACCAATTTAGGCCGTCTAAGACAAGCTAATGTCCATTTAGAACTACTTCATTTCCATTTTAGTCCAGCTAATGGCCATCTTATACTAGCTAATTTCCTCTTGACCAGAAATTATCTTCATAAATGAGTTTTATATAGTAAGTTAATAGCTGTCAATTAGCAGCTTATGAGCATGTTGTCAAGCTAATGACTAGCTTACTGTAGGTCATATTAGACCAGAAACTGCCAAGCTTTTGAACAGCATTAGCCATCCAAGAGCTGCTTACGACCTGCCTAAACCAGCTAATTACCATGTTGACCAGAAATTATCTTCATAAGTGAGTTTTATATAATAAGATAATCACTGTCTAACATCAGTTTATTAGCATGTTGTCAAGCTAATGACCCAGCTAGCAAAATTCATGTGGCTCAAATCCGGCCCACACTAGACACTTACATCCGGCCCACATACCACATGGAATGATGGCACTTTGGCAGTCTGCTTCTGTTTGCCAGATCTGGGCCACAATTAAGCCATAGAAATATCATATTTTAGCCAGAATTCAATCAAATGAACCAGAATTGACACTATTCTGGGCCACAGTTTGCTTTTATTCTGGCCCAAATCTGGCCTACACCTTACACTTGCTGGGTGTGGCAAAGTACAAAAATCCCAGCATGCATTGCAGTATGAATACATTCTATCGCTTATTGATGCTCAAGTTTTCATTATTTGCTTTTGATTCTGCTCCCTGCTAAAAAAATCCAGCTTAAACCAGCCTAGGCTGGTTGGCTGGTTTTAGCTGGTTGACCAGCCTGGTTTTAGAGGGGTTTTGGCCATTTCCAGGCTGGTTTCCAGCCATTTCCAGCCTGGTTTTAGCTGGTCTGGCTGGAAAATGACCAGCTAAATCCAGCTAAAACCAGCTTGACTAGTCTGGTTGAAGCTGGACATAGCTGGTTTTGGCTGGGCTCCCATCCTGGCTAGGCTAGTCAAGCTGGTTTTAGCTGGTCATCTCCCAGCCTGACCAGCTTTTTTTTTTTTTTGATTGTTTGTTTGTTTTTTTACTTGGCTTGTTTGCTGTAATGAAAACTTTTCAAGTAAAGTTCTTAAAGGGCTCAGGGCTTCAGGGCTATGAGTCCAACTAAATCAAACACTTTTCTCCATGATGGTGACTTTAGTCTATGTGGTCCGCATTTGCCATAACTTCTCTTAGCCTCTTTTGGCTCACAACCACATTAGCCAGAGCTAACTGTACACAAAATTTTCCAAAAGTGGCCCTCATTTGTTTTAGGATAACTGGGAAACATTTGCTATGTCTTCTCTGGGCCACTATACGCTCAAAATCCACATTAGCAATAGCTTACTGTACCGAATATTTGCCAAAAGTGGAACACATATGTCTTAAGTTAACTGGGCCACATTAGCACTTACACGTGTGAGCTACTTTAGCTTTAGACCCAGATTACCCTTAAATGACTATGCCACATTTTTTCCAACTGTGGCCCACATTTGTTCTCCATCATTTAGGCCAAATTGATAATTTTCCACATGTGCCACATTAGGCTCACATTTAGATTACATTTTGCCATAAGTGCCAAATCTTTGCCTCAAATGGCCTATTAATTGTATTTGAATTTTTGAATCTTTGTACAGATAGGGCACTTCAGGCTCACATTCATTTTGTCTGGGTCGAAGGAATACCACCAGTGCCGCATAACTGCCTTAAGTGCCCCACATTCGTATGCTAGCTGGGGACTAGCCTACTGTAGGTCATCTTAGACCAGAAAACTGCCAAGCTTTTGAACAGCATTTTCCATCCAGGAGCTGCTTACAACCTGCCTAAAACAGCTATTAAGTATACTGAATGCTGCCTTTGAGCAGCTAGTGGTGATATTAGGCTAGTTAGTGGCCATTTTAGATCAGCCAGTGGCTAAACTAGACCCTAAAATCCTACTGAATCTGTATTTTAAGCAGTAAAGTGATAAACACATTGTGTTTGTATCTGCACGTGTAGACAGATGGAGAGCAAAAAAGAGATGTTTTGTTGGCACAAAGATTACCCGCACCCGTTTCTTCAATTGATACCAGCTAAAAACCGAGACAGCAAGAGGAGAATATCTTCCCGTATTTACATACATCTGAGCCTGATTAAGTATTTATCTATGCCAGCCAGACGAAAGACACTTTTTGTCCAAGTCTTTTGTCATTTATCTCATTTTATTTTCTAGATTCCAGACTAGCAAATGAAATAAATGAGCTGAGTATCATCAGCATACAAATGTCAGCCTACGCACCTGACTGAACATTAAAATGCAGAGTGTAAATGTTGCAATCTGTCTGTTTCTTTTCCATTCCCACTCAAAAATATGCTTTGCTGGTGGAGGCAGTCCTTTTTAACTCTGGCTTTCTGTGGCACCCCCCACAGGCGGGGAGCAGGACTACCAGGGGCAGACAGATTCGTTGGGGGACTTGTACAGAGCGCTGGAGCGTGCCCGTCTGACACCTATTGGTGAGCACCGCCTTTCCACTCGTCTGGAGTACAAACATCTTTTCATCCGGCGTTGCAACGATCCACAGCTAAATGACAAACTGCATCACCTTCGCATCCTGCAGAGCACGCTAAAGGTATCCGAACTCTGCTGCCGCATGGGTCCCACTGCACCCTGTGTGCCTGTTTGTTTCATCTGTCCAGTCTGTCCGTCTGTCCTCTCCATCTGTCTGATGTCTGTGGGGTTCTGGGGACAGCAGTATTTATTGGTCTTTTTTAGTAGTCTATTTTGATATGGTTTCTTTCGCCAAACTGCTATCCCAGAATCCCATCCATGTTAGACGGAGTTCTCTGTCTGGTGTGGGAGGAGGGTATGGCCAAACTCTGCTCTGAACTCTGCCTCTCCGCGTGGGTTTAGGCTCTACCTGGTGCCAAGGGGTCTTCTTGTGGTGGGTCTGTGCAATTTCTGTGACCCCCTCTCCAAACTCCTTAACCCCATCTGCTGTGCTGTGTTCTTTATGTTGAGGCACAGCTTCCTGTTGGATTGTGGGTATAATAAACAGCTGGTTAGCAGCACCAAAAACAAGGTTCCAACATTAAGTGAAGATAGACCATTCATAATGCACCAATGACAATCTTACACAAGTCACACACCAGTTTAAACCTGCTATTGACCATCTTTGAGCAGACTAGGCCATCTTTGAATGGCTTATGACTATCTCATGACAATACTAACCTGATAACTAGCTGCTGACCATCACTGCCAAGCTGATTACCACTTTAGAACAGCTAATCTTAGACAATCTTAGACATGCTAATTAACAAGATTACTCCTTATTTGACCGGTTTAGACTAGTTGATGGCCAGATAATGACCAATTGATAACCATACTAGCCAGCTTAAATTTTAGACTAGGTAATAACAATCTTTTAAAAACATTTTTAGCCATCTTAGATCTGCTAATCATCCTTTAGACAAGCTAATGACCAGGTTAGATGAATTAGAAGCCATCCTTACAGTGTCAACCAGCTTGAACCAGCTAAAATCTTACATGAACCAATTGGTATGGCCAAACTCTGCTCTGAACCCTGCTTCTTGGTGTGGGTTAATCTGGTTTTGTGACATTGGGTCTTCCTGAGCTTGGGTTAGTTGGTTTGTGCCTTGGCTGTGACCTTCCCCAACCTTTCCCAGCTGCTGCGTTGTGCTTATTATTTCGGGGGCAAAGCCTCCTGTTGCATTGTGGATATTATAAAAATCCCTTATCACTCAGACTTGAATGAAAGAAGGTTAATTGCGGGCACAAAGCCCCACAGTGCCAGAGGACTCCAGTCAAGTCTGAGCATGCTATGTGTGTTTGCGTGTGTGTACTGCTCTGCTCATCTAGGTTGAGTCCACATCGCTTCACGTCTGCGCTAACAGCCTGTGGCGTGCTTTGACTATCACATCCTAACCACTGTTTGAAGAAGACTGTATCTGTAATGCCCACACTCCACTGCTCTCTTTCTTCACCCCCATAGGACAGGGAGGGCGAAGTAGCACTGATTGACAAGCTGCTGGCCAATCCTAAGCTCACGTCCTCAGAGTTCCAGGAATGGAAGAAAGTTTACATGGAGGCGTTTTCAGAAGAGCCACAGCGGGACCGTCAGCCCAGCCCTGCCTCTGAGCCCAGCCCTGCCGCTACGCCTGAGCCTGCCCCCCGCACGCCCTCCCTCTCGCACACACACTCCTACATCGAGACTCACGTCTGACGTACACAAACTCTTACTTCAGAGTTCAGACCCAAAAATACCACCACAATACCAACTTTTAAACAATGGACATACTGTAGGCTTCAACAGACCTTACGGTGGAATTTCAAGCTAAAGTAAGAAGAAGCAAATTGGTGTTTATGGACCTTAAATATGTTACACGCCATATTTAATTGAATATTTTAATTATGAGGCTGTGAGGGATATATTTACAAGATGATAATGCAATGATGCATGTCTTAGTAATTGAAAAATCAATTAATTTGTTGCATTATTCATTAATTACTATGAAATTACCCAGAGGCCATCTCAGACTGCATGTCAAATCAAGACTGTCATTTTTGACTTTCTTTGTCATTCTTCATATTTAAGTGTATCGCTTTATGCAATGCAAGTTAAAATTTTTTCAGAAGCTCTTCCTTAATAATGAAATATAATGTTTATGTCAGAATATTGGGAGGATATGTTTGGCGTTTTAGTAGTTTTTTTTTTGTTGCTGTATTTTGCAGGTATCACTTTTGCACAGCTTAACACTTTTTTAATGAGATTGAAAATTTGCATAGCACTAATTAAAAATTAAATTGTAATAATTCTAGGTGCCTAGAAAAGGGCAATTAAAGAAAACAGGTTTGAAAGTGGCGTTATTGTTTTCGTGGAAAACTGAAAACAAAACTTGTGAAAGCAGTGATATTATATTCATAGATTATCATTCAGTCTATATATTTCAATACTGGACAACTAGAACAGTGACAGACTACGGGAATGCAGCCATGTAGTTTCCCTCATAACGTGACGTCACCATCTACTGACCTGGCACTCAATACGCAGTTTAATAATAATATTTAATAATTTAGTGTTGTGCTCTTGACTCATGAATGACTATAACTAAAATTTGCTCTGGATACGGGCCGGAACAACAATTACGTGAACCTCAATATAAGGAGAAAGCCCATTCAAATTAATGGGGTTTTGGGAAATGTTTTTGGCTTCAGTCGTTCTAATTAATGCAGCCTAAGGGGTCGATCACACCTGACACGCTTTCCCGTTCTGAAAACGCGAGGCACACCGCTATGCCTTTTTTGTTAACAAGAAAAAAAGAAGTGTGGTTCGTTTTTTTATGTCGCTAGGTAATGACTAAATCAGCTGTGTATTGTGCGTATTTTAATAATTAACAATAATATTCAATGATTAATCAAAATTCGATTGCAATATTAAAGATTTGTGAAGTCATACATCCCTGGATAACTCAAAACAGCAAGTACTAGTCTCTGCTCTATCTTCAAAAGTCTCCATAGTCGTCATGACAACACAAACACTGCTGTTACCTCAACGGAAACCCGCCTCTGCTTTGATTTGATTGGAGAATGAAAAGGATATGACTGACGTAATGCGTTTTTTTTGCTCAGAGTTTAGTTTTTTTTTAACTGCGAGCGCACAATGCCAAAGACAGCACAAGACTTGCATAGTCTTACCAATCATTGATCGCTATAGACTGACTTTTTCTGAACTAGATGTTTTTTTTACGACAGTTTGTTGGTCAACAAACACAATGGAATCTCACAGACATATATCCACAATATATCCACATAAAGCTTGAAATGTGTGTTTTTATCCTTTGTCCTATGCATGGTGCATAAGCACCCCGAAACATGCTCACGGCCATTCAAAAAAGGCACCTTAACGCAAAAAGCTTGCTCAGTGTGATTGGCCCCTAACATTTCTTTAGAGTTTAAGTATTGGTGTTTTATGCGTATGCTAATGCAAAGAAAAGTGTTTTTAGTCTAGATTTAACCTGAGAGAGTGTGTGAGAACTGTAATAGTGATCATTCCATAGTGTTATCATCTGTCGACAAATCCATTTTTACAGCACTGTTGTCATGAAACGCACCCTGTACTTTATCCCTCACAGCCTCGGTTTTATTCAACTCAAATGTGACTCACCATCTACCCTGATTAAGATCCATAAACACAAATTCACTCCTCGCTTTGTCCTTACACTCTCGCACTCTGACAGCAATCACAGACTCAAGTCTACATGTGCTTTTGAAATACTTGAAAACCCTTGTTTACGCAGGCACACACAGCCGCACAAACAAAGCTTTCTGAATGGCTCGAATCTCAATTCACTGGCATCAGAATATGTCATTTCTGCACACCGGGTTGCCATGGTTACCAGTCCTCCAAGCGACACAGACGAGGAGAGACAATGCCATCGCACCCAGAACAAACCAGGTGCACCTCTACACAGGAAGCTGAGGTACAACCACTTCAGTTTGGAGATTGACGCTACAGAATGAACTATTAGAGGAAATGCACATCTGAGGAGATGTTCGAACACTGAACACACAGACTGTCATTCCTGTGTTTGGCTGTTTTTTGAAGCAGATCTCTTTGTGGACACTCGAACGGCCATCTGCAATGTTTATATGCCACTTTAGCATACTCTATACTCTGCTGTATCATACTATATATTTATGATCTGCTGTTATACATCGGCTGGCCCCGACTTATAGCATTTGTACATTTGTGTGGAAGGTGTGTGCGTGTTTGTGTGCATTAATATGGAATGTTAATGTGGTTACCTCATATCACAATCTCTGTGGAGTGTTTGGATATATCAAGAAAAGGAATATTTCTGGTTCTGTTCTGGTTCCATCTTGGTGTCAGTTATCATAGTCAGTTATTTGACTCGGCTTGTAGTAATAGTGCTAAAATGGAAGTCTCTGGGGCAAGGCAATGGAAGCAGAAATAGGAAGCTTGTGTGTTTGCTAAGATGCTAATGCTAACTTCCTATACATGTTGTCTAAATTAACCTGGTTGGGAAAAGACCTCAAGTTATACTCATTTCTGATTCATTTTTGAGTAACCAGATTTTTCTGGTAAATGTGGCTTTAATTTTCAAAAATATTCACTTGGTGAACAATTACAAGATCTGATAAACGAACTAGGCATGGTGGTGCTGTGGGTAGCATTCTCGCCTCAAGCAAGAAGGTCGCTGGTTCAAGCCTTGGCTGGTCAGTTGGCATTTCTGTGTGGAGTTTGCATGTTCTCCCTGTGTTGGAGTGGGTTTCCTCCGGGTGCTCCGGTTTCCCCCACTGTCTAAAGAGATGCGGTACAGGTGAATTGGGTAGACTAAATTGTCCGTAGTGTGTGTGTGTGAATGAGTGTGTATGGATGATTCCCAGAGATGGGTTGCTGCTGGAAGGGCATCTGCTGTGTGAAACATGTGCTTGATAAGTTGGCTGATTATTATTTATGTGGATGGGAAACCACATGGGAGAGCTAGGTTGCTGTGAAAGTGGTAATAGTGAGGGCAGCAGGGGGCGATCAACCTGCAGTCTGCGTGATTCCTAACGCCCCAGAATATTGAAGGGGACTTTCAGATGAGACATTATACCGAGGTCCTGACTCTCTGTGGTCGTTAAAAATCCGAAGATGTCCTTTGAAAAGAGTAGGGGTTTAACTCCAGCATCCCTGCCAAATTTGCCCACTGGCCTCTGTCCATCATGGCCTCCTAACCATCCCCATATCATAATTGGCTTCATGACTCTGTCTCCTCTCCACCAATCAGCTGGTCTTGCGCAATATGGCTGCCGTCGCATCATCCAGGTAGATGCTGCACACTGGTGGTGGTTGAGGATATTCCCCCTTATGTGTAAAGCGCTGTCCAGAAAAGCGCTATATAAATTAAAATAATTATTTACAAATAAACCCAATCAAAAACAATTAATTAAATTTAAAAACTTTTATGTTTATTTAAAATTTGAAAGAACATTTTAATGAAGAAAACATTTTTTTCTTATCTTAGTCTCCAGTCTTGTGGAGTTGAGTATTTTAAACAATACTTAGTAACACTATTTTATTTATATGATATAATTTAGTTTTTCAGCATCCATTGCCTTGTCCCAATAGACATGAATCAAAATGACAGTGGTAATTGTCAGAATAATGAAAAATATTGCAGTTAGCATTCACCTTGTATTAAACCCTGAATATTTCTGTGCCTGCACCATGAACGATTCTCGACAGAGCGTTACGCCTTGCCAAACTGGGTCTCTGATAACGGATGAGCATTTAGTGAACTGTGTGGGCTTTGATTGGTAGAAAATTGCACAGGCTTCATTATCCAGAAGCAGTATTATCTCTGTAATTTAAGTCGGATTGTGGAAGTTTTATACATTTTCCGGATATTATGAGGTGAAACCAAGAAAACAAAAGCTTATAATCAAAACCAGATTTACACGTGATGCTCTTAGCAAAGAAAATTGATTTTGTTTATTCAAAGTGTGCTGTCAATTTTTTAAGCTCAAAGAAACACTCCACTTTTTTGAAAGTAGGCTTTACAACCCCCCTAGAATGGTTCGTTTTGACCATTTCCATTCAGCCAGTTTCTGTGTTTGGTGGTAGCACTTTTAGCTTAGCTTAGCTTAGCATAAATCATTGAAGATTAAGAAGATTAACGACTAAGAAAAAGTTTTGATGACCTTCCTATTTAAAGCTTGACTATTCTATAGTTACATCATGTATAGGGCAGATGGAGGATGAAAACGTGCTATTTTGTAGGTTGATATGGCTAGGAACTATACTCTCAATCGGGCGTAATAATCAAGGAACTTTGCTGCCATATAAAAGCTGCAGCAGGTGCAATGATATTATGCAGCACCTGAAAACTGACCCCAGACTTTTTATTTTCTGTCAGTCTATGTAACTACAGAAGAGTCGAGCTTTAACTAGGAGAGTTCTCTAAACTCTTTTTTTGAAACCAAGATGCTAATGGTCTAATCCGATTGAATAATTTATGCTAAGCTAAGCTAAAAGTGCTCCTGTCAGACCCAGGTTGACTGAATGGGTTCAAAAATAGTTCAACTCAACTGTTTAACTCTAGGGGACTTGTTAAATCAGCCTATTTTCAAAAAAGTGGACTGTTCCTTGACCCTGAAAGATATTTATATTATTAATAATATTGTATACTTCCGTTTGGATTAACATTTTTCACTTCTACAAGCTGCCATGAAGTCATCCTGCACAGTGCTGCTAGTTTAGGGACATTTGTGTTAAGACAACAGTAAGTTTTAATGACAGCCAAGGTCACCACGACACATCACTTTTTTCCAGCCCAGGGATTCGCTACACGACTCCACCGATCAAAGCTGTTGCTCTGAATTCACCCCAGCATCGGTCTGAAGCAGCAACTTGACTCCTGAATCACATGTATTTTAAAGTCTTTATGAACTCTCTGAGAATTTCATCTCCTGCTGCATGGCTTGTAGATACACATCAATCCCAATTGTTTCTAAACCGAAGCTGCCAAATGATTTAGCGTCAGTGTTTCAACTGTCAGAGCGACCAAGAAACACTCAGCAGACACAAAGATGCTTTATGTGAGATTTTTCAGAACACTGAATGTTCAGAGAGAGTTTATTGTATGATAAGATGTGTATTATATGATGTACATTGATATTTCAGGTATGGAGCACATTCATTCTGTATGTAATCTAAGACAATATATTAGCTTGATTTTGATTGAGTGACTCAGGTGCTAATGTGTCCATTAGCTCTTAGGAAAAAGTGATTACCAGTGGAAATAGAGCTACTAGAACTGATGTCTATTGGTATTTTACTTTAGTAATATATCAAAGTTATTCTTTATTTAGTGCAAACCATGTTATGTTTCCTTAGCAGCCCTTTTTTTAAAACACAAAGTTGTCGTAAAGCAATCTAGTTCATTAATATCTGTGCTGCTGCCTGTCTTTATTTATATGAATAGGGCATGTCATTTGGGCAGTGCAGTTTCCTATGTGTTGTGTTTAGTGTACAACCTGGTAACGTTTACTTTATTTATTACATTATTTAAAAAGAGAGTTATTGCTTTCTCCAGATTTAAGTGTGGTTATATACCTAGAGTCAATAAACTTTTATGGATGTAATCATACAATATTTACTGCGTATGTTTTTTTTTTCTGTACTTAAAAGCATAGTTTACAAACCATGACAAATGATGACAGAATTTTCATTTTTGGGTGAGCTATTTCTTTAAATGAGGCTGGTTTAAATATACATTGCAAAAAAAAAAGTAGGGATGCACCGAT